ATATCTTTCCATGCGTCTCTCTCTCTCTCTGTATCTCTCTCCTTATCTTTCTCCCCATATCTCTCACGTCCATTTTCCTCTTACTCTCTCTCTCTGCACGTCTTCCCCCTCCTCAATTCTCTTCTCGTTGCGTGTGTAAGTTCTCCATTGTGTGTGTGCTTATCTGTATTTATGTGCACATCTATACGTGTGCCTGGGTATATGGTTATACGTGGATGCATTTATCTATTTATCCATCTTACAGAAAAAAAGTATCTGAATAGGTGGCTGCAAAAATGTTTGCTTCTAAAAAAGGTTTGAGAAACACTAATCAATAGAAATGTTTGGCTGTCAAAATATGTATTTCTATCCCCCAACACAAGGCGTTTCTCTGGAAGCACGAATGCTAACCACAAACCATTAAGCCACCCATCATCCACACCTGAAGTAAGAGAATAATCATTTCGGTAAACCGAAACAAAGTTTTGAATTTTCATTATAAGACCTCCTTTGCCAGTAGCAAGATATAGTAATAGGTTTTTACCCTTTATCTGGCACCAAAACTGACACCTTTATACAAGGGATCATGTTTGCAATAACCACAACACAGGCAGTCAAAATGCAAACAAAAAAGAGACAACTCTGATAATGATATGCACTGTCCTTGAAATTGATTGGTTCACACCCGAGACGGCTTTTCTTAGAGCCTAGTCTCCACTGGTGTTGGACCAGATGACGCCAAAAGGCGTACAATTCAAAAACAGCGCACTATCAGAGTATTGAGAGCTCGGGGTAAGCAAGTTTTGAATCTCCTTTAATTAACCCTTAGGTGGAGCTATACTCAAAGTAAACTCATTGCGGCGCGTAAGTCATTGCATATAGGTTTTATTTTAGCTAGGGATACGGATAACCGTTTCTCTGAGTGACCTGGTGACGCTGCATGTTATATTCTTTATGATATCTAATATCTTATAAAGTCTCTTTAGACCCAACTAGACGGATGACACCATAAAACCAAACGTATTATTGTGTTGAAGCATAAAGTACAGCTTAAAATGTAAATTTTACGTGAGAAATACAATTATTTGCACTGGCAATTATTTTTTTTATTTTCATTTAGAGCTGAGCGATTTCATAATTTATAGCTGTGAACTGAAATTCCATTATTAAGATTCAATATAATTCTTAACGGGAACAAGGAATCATTAAATTGTGTGGGCGACCTGTTTTGAGCCCCGTGTGGTTTTCAGGTGAGTAGTAAGGGACGATGTGACTTGGAGGCCGTCCATAAATGACGTCACGCACCTGGGGGGGGTGGGGGGGGTCAGACATTTGTGACGGTGTGGGACGAGGGGGGGGGAAGTTGAGAAATGTTACGTCACATCAAAATGCGCAACTTTAAATAAATATAGACAACACGTTCTACTTAATTAAATATACTTTTTTTAAATAAAGTTTTTCTCCTACAACATCAGAGTGTAGCGCCACATTAAATACGCACTACAATGACAATAGTTTAAAGCGATTTGAAGCATGTTTTATTTTGGGGGGGAGGGGGCGGCAGAGCTTTGTGACGTCATATTTTAGGGGGAGGTCTGACTTTTTGTGACGCCGTGTGGCGAGGGGGGTCAAAAATCGTCTAAAATCGCGTGACGTCATTTATGGACGGCCCCTTGGCCAGCTGTGTGGAATTTCCATTTCAACGTATGGCCGATGCCTAGTGAATGAAAATGGCCCACTTCCATCGCTGATTCCAGCATGACTTTCAGGCAACAAGGAAGGGCTCATGGGGCCTGACCGACCAAGTGGAATCTCCATTAAAAAAGTACGGGGGTGCTACTGGACAATTCCAAGGCTCTCAAAGAATCCCCCCGCCCCTCCCATTTATTTGAATTGGGGTTCAGGAATCTCATTTTAAATTAAGGTGGATTCTAGTAGATCATTCCTAAGCTCAAATAATCCCCATTAATTTGAAAAACAATGCCTGCATCGCCATTCAAATGAATGGTATTATGCACATTTCTTTCTGCAGCAGAATCCCTGAAAAAATGCTTTTCTACTTAATCGAGATTTTAACAAAAGAACATTCGAAAGATTACAAACGAGAGGGGGTCATTCGGTCCATCTAGCTCGTTCGGTTGTGAGTCGCAGTGAATCTGCTTCCACAACATGGTTGGGCAGCCTGTTCCAGACTCCATGGGAATTACCCATAAAGGAATTTTAATTCCTGCACAAATTTGTTCTTGGTGGAATCGTAATATTTTGATAGGATTCCTGCAGGAATCGCCCAGCAAAACTGGCAATTTGAATGATGTAAGTTGGCTTATGGCGAGAATGGTAATTTTAATGTAACTGCGATAGCGAACACTGGTGTGTATTGAACGGTCAAAACATCGCACGACAGATGCAGCTCTTACACCAATTGACAATTAAGAATAGCTCGCAATGTAGCTCACTAATCTTAAACCATTAGACCAAACAGAATACCACTGCCCACTTCATTAATTCACTGGCAGCATTTCAGGTCATCATCAGGCTACTCCTAAAGCCATTTACTGGCTCCCAAATTCGACATGAACACGTTGCTGATCGACTCCCCACAATAGGAAAGAAGATATTTCCAAAGTCTGTGGTCTCCCTCCCACATGCTTAAACTCGCATTAACCCCTTCCATACCAACATACATTTTTACAAACCATTCTTAGCTTTTTGTTAACGTTCCTGTGTGTGATGTGAACCATAGTTTTCCGGCCTGCACAATTTTTCTGTCACGATGGGTTTTCTCATCATTTACAGATTTGATGACAAGTCATTGCTGGCAAATACGGAAGAAGGGTTTAAAGTTTTAGTTATGAAGAAAGAATTAAGCAGAAGAAGATTTCAGAATAAAAATAAACGAGGATTTTGAGGAGAGAAATTAATATTATGATTGTAGGCAAAATAGAAGTGAAGAAGTTTCACTATTCTCATACACATTATCAGTGTTCGAAAGAATCAGAATTATAATTTCAATGGGTAATGAAGTCTTCAGAAAAAAAAACGAAGTCATTGACTTCTATGTGCAGAATCATTTCACTGTCTTTCCAGATGTCAATGTGATGCAATGGACTCACTATCGTCATTATTGTGTTATAAACATCACTTGGATTAATCACGCGTAGTAATGCAGCAACATACACCATGGACAGAGAGTAGAGCTAACTTACACGGTGGCTTTGCACACTTGAACTATGGCTCCACACACCCCCGTACTTTGGAAATTAAATTCCTCTTTTACTTTCCATTTTCAGCCTGAGATGCATGAAATCAACTCACAACCCCACGTATTGCTTTCTAAGTGCCTACTTATAAAAATAGATTATACTGGTAGGAACCTCCTGGTTACACCAGCCCACAGGGGATTATTGTGTCCGTCCGTCGTGCATCCAAAAATTGTTTAAAAACGTTTTAAACAATGAAATATTGTTTAAAACGATTGAAAACTCAAACCCTGTGCCCACACCATGGACATGGAGGATAGGGAGTGTTTGTAGATATATCCACCAAGCCTGGTTGGGGGGAGTGATCTTTACTTTTAACGTGTTTGCCTGGAAAACCAAATCCTCTGGTGCAAATGCATGGAAACATTGAAACCAACCGCGACTGAGGTACAAACAGAAATCCAACAGAGGACAGAGCATCAAAACGCATTATTACATGCTCCCATGTCCAGGGGCGGAGCCAGGATTTTGACTTTGGGGGGGGATGACTTCAATATTCTGAGATATCCAGTTTATGTTTTCCAATGGGCGCCACAAATGTATAAAACAAATTTTATTGGATTTTAACGCGGAGTTTATTAATAGGTCGGAGCCGCTGATGTGACTAATAAGTTCGATAAGTTCGAAAGGCTGCCGCTCAAGCAGCCTGCAGGGCAGCACAAGGTGGCAGCCTGCAGGGCAACACACAAGGTGGCAGCCTGCAGGGCAGCACAAGGTGGCAGCCTGCAGGGCAGCACGATGTGGCAGCCTGCAGGGCAGCACAAGGTGGCAGCCTGCAGGGCAGCACAAGGTGGCAGCCTGCAGGGCAGCACAAGGTGGCAGCCTGTAGGGCAGCACACAAGGTGGCAGCCTGCAGGGCAGTACACAAGGTGGCAGCCTGCAGGGCAGCACGAGGTGGCAGCCTGCAGGGCAGCACAAGGTGGCAGCCTGTAGGGCAGCACACAAGGTGGCAGCCTGTAGGGCAGCACAAGGTGGCAGCCTGCAGGGCAGCACACAAGGTGGCAGCCTGCAGGGCAGTACACAAGGTGGCAGCCTGCAGGGCAGCACAAGGTGGCAGCCTGCAGGGCAGCACAAGGTGGCAGCCTGCAGCATTTTGAAGTAGCCGGATATCCGGTTATCCCGATTACCGATATTCCCAAAATTTCAGGGGGGGCTGAGCCTCCCCCCCCAGCCCCCCCCCCCCTCGTGGCTCCACCCCTGCCCATGTCTATGCTCCTCGCTTTCACAAACCCGCACTCACTGGCATAGTGAAGTATGGTTAAACAACCCTCATGGCTAGCGAAGCACAGGGAGGCTCTTATCAAGCAGTGCCGTGACAGAAGGGCTATACACATGCGTAAGCCCTTTGAGGTACTACAAACAAATGTTTAATTTATATTTAACAAACCGATGCAAAACAAGAAATGCTCCATTTGCTTGTTTTGCAAACAATAGTGCGATTGAAACCATATCTAGAGCCTCACATTTATTTAAAATCGTAATTAATTTTTGAGGGGATAAGGCAATTCATTATTTTGTTTACAAACGACAGTACAGTCAGTATAATTGCTGTATATCCTTCACAAACGAAGACCATTTACGTAATTTCCCTGGTCAGATCTCCCACAATTGAGAAAACATTAAATCAACCGTTCAGGCAAAGCCACTGAAATAGAACATAAAGTACAATTTGTTTTGTTAAAATAAACAATCATATTTTTTAAATAAAATTTATATTATCTCCCCCCCCCCCGCCTTTTCAGATCTTAGATAAAGTTTTAGCTCCTGTAAAGAACAGTTTGTGAGTGTTCAGTTTTTTTCCGGAGTTGAAGTTTTCAATGCGGATGTGGCAAAGCCAGTGAGTCTAAGGGTCAGTTCACCGCTATAACTGGTTTCCAAGTTCCTCCTTGTGAGGGTACATTTGGCCGTATCGACAGTTTTATTGCCCACTACCGCGTTATTTGTGTTTTAAGGAGGCAGAACAAAAAGTGACGCCGTCATTAATGGAACGAACATGCAAACTGCAGCCTTAGCTCGCAAGGAACATCGACGCTGCTTTGAGCGTAACTAGAAATGTAGAACAGAATGCTCAAAGTAAATAAACACGGCGGAGTGTTGTAGATCTATTTATCCTCACGGTTTAAAACATGAATATCAATTACTGTCGTGAATTTACAGTCATGGTGCTTTTAGCGTTATGCTTGAATCGGTGTGTAGAACCCCGCCTGAAAATCTGCAGAGAAAAAGGTAAGTGTTTTAATTGTTAAAGACATTTATTGCTACGTTGATGATGATTATATATATCAGAGTAAATACAACACAGGTAATGTCCAGCGTGTACAATTGTTGCATAACATCAGAGAATCTGATTGGGTTAGTTTGCACCCTTCTTTGCAATTCAACGAGTGATTAATTATGGCCATACAGTGAGGGAAAAAAGTATTTGATCCTCTGCTGATTTTGTACGTTTGCCCACTGACCAAGAAATGATCAGTCTATAATTTTAATGGTAGGTTTATTTGCACAGTGAGAGAGAATAACAACAAAACAATCCATTAAACGCATGTCAAAAATGTTATAAATTGATTTGCATTTTAATGAGGGAAATAAGTATTTGACCCCCTCTCAATAAGAAAGATTTCTGGCTCCCAGGTGTCTTTTATACAGGTAACGAGCTGAGATTAGGAGCACACTCTTAAAGGGAGAGCTCTCCAAGGATGTCAGGGACAAGATTGTAGACCTACACAAAGCTGGAATGGGCTACAAGACCATTGCCAAGCAGTTTGGTGAGAAGTTGACAACAGTTGGTGCGATTATTCGAAGACGGAAGCTTGTGTTGCCTCTGAAACGTCGTGATTTAATTGTTTTATTTTATTTTATCTACGTGACTTTACCGAAAAAAACCGAAGAGTATGAATCCTTGCATTCACGAAAGCTTCAAATCTAGAAAGGTGACAACAGTTGGTGCGATTTTTCGCAAATGGAAGAAACACAAAAGAACTGTCAATCTCCCTCGGCATGGGGCTCCATGCAAGATCTCACCTTGTGGAGTTGCAATGATCATAAGAACGCTGAGGAATCAGCCCAGAACTACACGGGAGGATCTTGTCAATGATCTCAAGGCAGCTGGGACCATAGTCACCAAGAAAACAATTGGTAACACACTACTCCGTGAAGGACTGAAATCCTGCAGCACCCGCAAGGTCCCCCTGCTCAAGAAAGCACATATACATGCCCGTCTGAAGTTTGCCAATGAACATCTGAATGATTCAGAGGACAACTGGGTGAAAGTGTTGTGGTCAGATGAGACCAAAATGGAACTCTTTGGCATCAACTCAACTCGCCGTGTTTGGAGGAGGTGGAATGCTGCCTATGACCCCAAGAACACCATCCCCACCGTCAAACATGGAGGTGGAAACATTATGCTTTGGGGGTGTTTTTCTGCTAAGGGGACAGGACAACTTCACCGCATCAAAGGGACGATGTACGGGGCCATGTCCCGTCAAATCTTGGGTGAGAACCTCCTTCCCTCAGCCAGGGCATTGAAAATGGGTCGTGGATGGGTATTCCAGCATGACAATGACCCAAAACACACGACCAAGGCAACAATCCACCAAGCTGAGATTAGGAGCACTCCCTTTAAGCGTGTGCTCCTAATCTCAGCTCGTTACCTGTATAAAAGACACCTGGGAGCCAGAAATCTTTCTGATTGAGAGGGGGTCAATTACTTATTTCCCTCATTAAAATTCAATTCAATTTATAACATTTTTGACATGCGTTTTTCTGGATTTTGCTGTTCTTATTCTGTCTCTCACTGTTCAAATAAACCTACCATTAAAATTATAGACTGATCATTTCTTGGTCAGTGGGCAAACGTACAAAATCAGCAGGGGATCAAATACTTTTTTCCCTCACTGTACATTGCACACACTGTGCTGGTACATAATTTCAGCTGGTATATCATAATCACCCATGATTGATCCACTGCTGGATTAAAGCCATCACATCTATCAGAGCCTCACGATTCAGCAATCCATCTCGCTTAAGATTTCATAATTCCATCTCCACGGCAGACATCCTCACGTGCGTCTGTTTTGTTTCTCTGCTTGTAATGCCATCATTAGTTTTTGACCACTGGCCCATCATCCATTCGAGGACATCGCACCTGTTCTGTTGCCTCTGTCCTGGCTACCGGTCAAGTTCTGGGTGGACTACAACGTCCTGCTTGCTGACCTGCCAGGGTATTGATGGGTTAGCTCCACAATATTTGCAGGAACTGAACCATTTATATTCTCCAGCGAGGTCCCTGACATGTTGGGATCACATTAATTTTGAGTACTTCAAGGTCGAGGTTCCTGGGGTGGATCGGGGTTTTGCCTGCACTGTCCAGCTCACAGACTATGGAACGTTTTCCCTTTGGTAATCAGACTCACCTCTTTAAATTGACCTTCACCCCAAGTTTTATGTATGTTGAAGGTACATAGCCTTTGCCCTGGTTCTGTTTTATGTTCTGCCTTCCACACATGGTGCATTGTGACCTACGGGTGAAATGCACATTACAAATTCACATTGTTGTTATTATTATTATTATTCGTGGCGTGTCCTACTCAAGCACGATTACTTTTCCTAATGGCCCTTGTGATGGTTCTAACTTGTGTGTGTGTTCGCCGATTCTATGTGTTCCTCTTCCTGGTTTACAGGTGATTTTTTATTTCTAAACAAAATCAATTTGTTTAGCTATCGAATGATGCGTGTTGCATGGAGTTACATTTTTTGTGGAAATGTGTTGTGTGTGTGAACACGTTACTGAGCGGTGTAATGGCCTGCTTCTGCTTAATCCTTCCCTGTGGATCTCTGTGAATTGTGTAGACAATGCTGCTTTTAGCTTATTAGTGGAGCATTATACAAAGCGTGGAAAATATCACTTATCTGATTTACCACCATGCAGCTAACAAAACAAACAACTGATAACAGAAGCTAAGTTCCTATTCCTTTTTTGCAGTTATAAAAAAAATATTGTCTTACAGTGTTTTTGTACTGTCATTCAATTTCATTGACTTGGTAAACTGGACTTCAGAGCGATTTGAGTACAGATAGATCGGCCGTACATGAATGTGTCTAATTCACTTCAGAGTTTAATGTGGAAATACAAATTGATATACATTGGTCATGCCAGACAATAACAATCCGAAAACTAAATCGGACCCATTTGTCAATCGTTATCATAATTAAAGTCGTTGTAATGATGTATGTAACCAGGAAATCCCTCGAATGAGTCTCGACATTTTATTAAAGAGGGTTGTACTCTGAATGTTTGTCCTGTTGTTGTTATTGTTGTTTTTTTTCTTCAATGGGAGAGGGGGGTGTGAGTTGGAGAAAGCCTACCTATGAGGGGACAGCATCAAACTTCGGTCAGATAGATCACAAAATCACTTACTATACTACATCCAAAGGAAACGTTGGTTCACATAGCAACTGATAATAGTTTTAACGGATACATTTCTCAGTCTGAACCCAAATTGAAATCGATTTCATTGCATAGGTACTCAACAGGCTGCTACACCTGAACTGAACTGCTCACAAATTTGAGTAATGTTGCTTACTGACAGTGGTGGCAATTTACTCCCGTTTGGAGAGGCTAAAACTCCACCTCATTCTCCACATGCTTGTACATGGTAATTATTTGGGTAAATAGAATGCAACGAAACGGGGGTTTTATGAATTAGTGTCACAAGACGGGCACATGCAGTCCATGCAATTGCCTAGAAGTAGTGGTCTGATGGGTGCTCAGCCCTGGTGCATTATCAATACACTTGCACGTGTTACTTAAGACTGGAAAAAGCCTAAGCGGAGTTTGTAGCCTACTCAGCATGGAGCCACGAGTCACACACCACCGATTCAAATATTCAGTTAACAAATCATGGAAAACTATAAGCATTGCAGAGCTCATGAAGTTTGGCTTTCAGCATATTTTACCCAGACGTGGAAGACGTCCATGGTGTAACGATTACCACACTGGACTTGCAATGCAGAGGTCGCCAGTTTGTTGTTACTGTCTCGGCATGTCAATTGAAGCAGTGCAAGTTTCAGAATTTGCTCCCCCGCCACCAACTCCACCACCGCCCGCCTCTGTCGACCCAGCAGTATTGATGCGATCACCACAGTTCGTCAGCGTAACACGTGGTAGGAGGTTTTCGCGATCAATATCATCCATAAGAGGTTTTTTCGGGGGTTTAGAGTGCGCAAATATATAAATGCGTCGTTAAACCCGCCACCACCTTACACAGCTAATTAGTAAGGGTTGTCACGTAAACAGAACATGCCAATTCGTTAGTAGTACAGCACACCGGTATGTTGTACTAGTAACGAATTGACATGTTCTGTAAAAGGTTTCAGTTTGGTGTTTTACTGGTAGGAACGAAGTTGTAAACTGAGTGTACCAGCCTGCAATAGATTAATGTGTCCGTCCGTCCGTCCCCTTTCAATACTTTAACGAAGTGAAATCTCGTGCTGTTGGGTGTAAAATCAGCAATAGACAGCGCAGAGACTTGTCCTACCAGCCCACCCTGCAGGGACCTGTTAACATATTAACACCTGTTTTGTTGCCAGAAAAAAGGGGAAAAACCTATTACCATATTTTGGTACTGGCAAAGGAGGTCACATGATGTTCTATTTATGTTACAAACCTCACTAATTGGCTGTCAGGTGGTGGCGCGCTTAACGACACATTTATATATTCATGCAATCTAACCCAAACAACCTGTATTATGGACCACAGTTCGTCTATGATCGCGATTGGTGGGATAAAACGTGGATACTCCCACCTATTCCAAGATATCGGGCTAGCCAGTGTGGAAGAGTAGGCCTTATACACTCTAGAGCAGTCGTTCTCAATCATTTTTTGGCTACTCTACCCCTTGTTGAATTTTGTTTCCACCGAATACTCCTTTGCCTGACCCAACGTGGTTCTGAGCAATACATGTATGAATCATGAACATCTAAATTTTAAATAATTATGCATTTTGTGAGGCCTACTAACTAGCTAGTAACTGCAAGCGAATACATGTGCATTGTCAACGATTCAGAGACAGAGTTTATAGGAGGCGCCTTCTTTATTAACAACTTCCACGGTCTCATCCACACACTCTCCACAGTAGCTCAGCCTAGCCTGTACACAACACTAGCCGCCGAACACTGACGCCGCTGACTGAGATAGCCAACTACTATCCTTCATAGCGCAATATCTAGCGGAGACGTTTAGCAACGACGAGACGAATCCACTCCCAGAACCAGCCAGCAGGCTCGAGCCCCCCGTTCTCGGCTCCTTTTATGCTCCCAGCGTGGCCCTGGCTCCGCCCTGGACCGCGCCTCCCTTCTAGCACCCGCCAGCAGGTTCCTGGGGCCTCCAGATGGGGTCCTCCATGACCCTTGCCCTCGTTCCTCCGCTCTGCCAACACGCACCGTGCACGCACTCACCGGCGTGTGCGCTGTCTGTCCACCACAGTCGCCGCTGCTGTCCACCAGCCGGCGCTATTACACTGCACGTGTAAAGAAATATCAACGGACGCTCCTGCACGCGTGGCTTAATTAGGCCACGCTCGCTGGTCACTCTTGGAAGCCACATTGCTAACGATCAATGAGTTTAGAATGGTATTTTTTTTCATATCGTTCTAGGTTACCATATGGATGTAAATTGAATCGTCGTTATTTACATCGATTGGCAGATTCGTGCGTGACCATTCACCGATGACTCTCACGCATGATATAACTTCACGCATTTACAAATCACCTCACGTACCCCCTGGGACAATGCCGTGTACCCCCATGGGTCCGTAAACCCCCGGGTGAGAACCCACTGCTCTCGAGAGACCCTCCAGAGCTCCCTCCAGTGAATGTCTTTTCGCCAGCAGTGGCGTGAGCGGGAAAATTTGCGTGGCCGCGCCACTTATACCCAGAATTAGTGCTTCAGTTCTCATCCGTTCATCCTTTCCTTTTTGGCAGGCGAGAGTGATCCCAGTGCGGTGGTTACAGAAGCTGGAACCGAAGTGACTTTGCCCTGCAACGCCTCGAGCGTGCAGAGCGGCGTGCTGTGGAGACTCAATGGCAGCGCCGTGCCTCCAAGCGTGAGCCACACTTTAAACGCAATGGGCTCCATCACTATTGAGGGCACGTCTCTCTCGGCCAACGGAGTGTACAGCTGTCACAACAATGTCAGTGGGGAACAACTGATAAACGTCACTTTGGAAGTTGGATGTAAGTGACACACTGTGTCTGTGTATATCTAATGTCTGTGTATATCTAATGAGTGCAGATTGTTATATGTGTGTGGGATACTCATTAGGTATTGGCAAGGCGCATGGTATCCCATCTTTTTTTCGGTACACAAATCAATCCTGCGTTTATAAATGTCCATTCAAATCATTAACTGGATTTCAGAATTACTATTGTTTAAATGATCTACCATCAATGCATTGTGACATAAAAAAAATATCAACACATGTCCATGAAATGATTCAGCACAAGCAATTAACATTACAAGCTGACAAGTCAGCAGTCAACATAAAAAAGCATTGCATTTAATATTTGTGAAAGTCTTTATTCAGTATGTTTGCTCCAACTGTGTGTGCATGTTTACCCCCTCCCCCACGTACCGCTGCATTACATTCGCTTTTACCAGATCCACCAAAGAGACCCAATGTGAGCTGCAGAGCCATTAACCCACACAAGGTGATTTGTAAGTGGTCATCTGGCAGAGAAACGTTTCTTCCCATCAAGTTTACCGTAGTCGTCAAATCAAAGTAAGTGACGCTTTACATATATACAGTACATGTATATATAAATAAGTACCGGGTATTATTTTTCTAGACAACTGGCAAATGCTTCGTTTCTATTCAGGAATCACCTCGTTCTTTGTTTCACTTTTGTGCCAACATCAATATTTGGGAAATGTGATTACGCAAGTGGAAAGTATTGACACAAATGAATATCCCGAATGTCCTTAGCTGGTGGTTTCAAGAGAATGTAAATACACTTCAAGACGGATGATGTTGCATGTCCAGCCAGAAAACTATACATCACCAATACATGAGTAGTAGTGGCTCTGTTCTCATCGAATCAATGGTCCAAATTCATATTTGAATTGCAAATGGAGAATGGGGCCAATTATCTGCACAAAACAGCTCCCATGCTGTAACTTTTTAGTGAAATAATGGTTAAAAGAACTACGGTATTCAGGCCTGAAGATGTTCATAGTTCAACATTGATATTAGGTACATTCTAGTGGAAGTAACTTGTAGATTGGCGCATCATGTGGCAATGTAGACAATGCATTCCCTGTAAATATAAATTTTTCAATACCCTTGTTATATTTTTTTTTTTAGTTTTCCCCAGCAAAAGTGCAAGCAGTTGTATCTGATGTTTCGATATGTACACAGTATACCGGAATATAGTAATACAAACTTAAAGTATATTTCGTTGAAATGTTCCATTATTGCCATCTTGGTCAACCAATGTCACATGCTTCTGTCCCGTGACCTCCTGTCAGCGGGCCTTCGACACTGCACGTGGCCTTCAAGTGCATACAGCTTGGCACAAGCACTGTGCTTATATCGCCCCCGCTGAGTGGCGAATGGTGGAGTGTTGGTGTTGTTATGCCGTGTTTTGCTTTCAGTGCAGTACTTGTTATTATGTCTTGCATGAAGAACACTTTGTGTTTCCGCTGGTTGTGCTCGTGGGTATGTTGTGAAATATTGTGAAATGCAGTGGTCAGTGTTGAGAAAATCAACAAAAAACTGTTTCGTTTGCAATTTAAGTTTTTTTTTTTTTTCTGATAAAATAAATGAATTTCTTCTATCCAGTTAAGAAATAAGTTTAGGTGAATCAGTCAATGTATATCGTATTTTACTGCAGTGTAATTGTCGTCCAATTAAAGAACCTAAGCTTAAAAGTTTATTTAAATAAATACAGTACATTGCAGCTTGTTGATTACAAATATAAGTTTTTTTGTATATAAAAATGAGTATCAGTTGAGTTCTGTTACACATCACTAACGGTAAATGCTGAAAGTGTTCAGGTTCTGAATTATTGTCCCATTAGAGTCCACTCCAGGGCCACTATTTAGCAGTGTCCACGGGTGGTGACCTGAATGCTTGCAAAAGCCTTTTGCTACGGCAGTGAACAATTGCAGGTCTTGATTCAACATATCGCAGCGCATCACAACAACATGGAATTCACTGAAGCGTAAGCAATAACAGTGAGGTGGAGTATATTAAATTGTAATGAAATCTATTGGCATATATGAGAAACATTAAATAGAAACAAACTCCCAATTGGAGGCACTGTTGTTATAGCACTTGACTCATAATCCGAAGAATATAAGGCAGGGAATGACCCATCCCATCATCCCTCCTTGGTCACTAAATTGAGTCAACAGTCATTCTGTGGGTTGGCACCACAATAATACCGATTGGCTCTGGGCTGCCAACAGAGTTCAGTTGCCACTCTACCCCTCTATTTCACCAGCGACTTTAAAAACAAACGATTGTTAACACATAATGTGATATGCATATCAGGTTGCCACCTGTTCTGGTTTTCCTTGGATCGTCCTCTCGTTTAAGGCAGCCGCCCTGGGTCACCTGTAAGTCTTCGCAGACATTCAAAGCCCAAGTCTTTTTTTGTCAGTTGCATTGTATTAATAATAATCCACCGCTCAAGTTAATGCTGTACATTCACTGTAGATCTCCCCTCTATCAGGAAATTGTGAGATACAGTATTATTCTTCCTTTGATAGCTCCAGGTTTTTGTCACCTCAGTGTTGGGCATTATATAATTGTGTAACATCGCAGACCCCATTGCAGTTATTGCTGGCGATAGGTAAACAAAGACAGAGCAATATGTTTTCTTTTTAGAGTATCTGCAGCATAATTTTCCCACGTTATTTAGACTTTGTCTTGCTTGGGGGGGGGGGATGTTACTCTCGAGCGTGTGAAGCGCATAACCACAAGGCAAAGCAGCTGTGTTCAGGTTGGTCCAGCAGTACATGTGTGTAGTGTAGCACAAGTCAGAGACGGGGTAGTTGCAGGAGGCACCTTCTTTATTGACACTCTTAGGTTCACAGGTTCCTTCCGATGTATAGCCTAGCCTAGACGCAACCCTGACCGTGTTACACTGACGGCGTAAAAACGAGACAGCCAACAACCATCCGGCCGCGCAATGATCTAGTGAAGACGACAGTGACGACGAAACGAGTCCACTCCCAGAACCCGGCAGCCCGGAGCTCTCGCTCTCCGCTGCTTTTATTCCCCTCGGCGCGGCCTGGCTCCGCCCTGGCCGCGCCTCCCTTCTCGAACCCACTAGCGGGTTCCGGGGGCTTCCCGATGAGATCTTTCCGTGACCCTTGCCCCAGTTCCTCCGAGCTGCCGGCACACACACACAGCCGTGTATATGCCCGACGGTGTGGGCGCGAACTGTCCACCGCAGTTGCCACTGCTGGACAGCAGTCGGGGCTATGTCACTACACATGTCCACTTCGTTAAGTAGAAACGATTTGCAAATAGCATCGACAAAATCCGGGCAACACACTCGAGCAGGAAGGTCACGACTACCAAGTGAGCCAATATTGCGAGTGAAGTGATCTTTGAACAAGAATGTGATGTGCTTTCTCGTTGAACAAAACACAAACGTAGCGAATGGATATACTACGCAGTATTAGATTACCGGCTGGATTCCTGCCTGGCTGCCATGCAAGTGCGCGTGCGCGGTAGTGACGTCGCCGCGCACATCCGCGTGATGACGTTGGGCTGGGTTCGTGCGCGGTGACGTCACGCCCCCCCCAACCCAAGCCGCGTTTCCCACGCAAATGTTTAGTATATGTACTGCCGGAGCAAGAGAGAGAGAGAGTACAGCAGCGTGACAGGGAAAGAAAGGAAGAGAGCAAAACGGAAAGAGGAGAGAAAAAGGGAAAGCGACAAGCAGGGGCAGGGAGGAATGGGGAGAGGCAAGAGAGATTGAGATGGGAAAGGGATAGGTGGGAATGAGGAGAGCGAGAGACCGCTCCATAGTGCTACTAAACATGCAAGGGCAAGTTTTAATTGAATTGATACAAAACGCACTGATGCACTTGATTATTGCCCTTAATAGGTGAGCATTGTGCATTCCTAGATCATTCCACGTAGACTTCGAGTCTTGTCCTGAGATACAACTTGCTGCGTGAGTTGCAACAGTCCGAAAGCTGGTTCACATTTCCTGTACACTTAATTTCTCTGCTTGCTTTTGTACGCAGACTAGAATTTGTCATAATTTTTTTTTACTTGCCTTAAAACTACTTAACTCCCATTTCTGGTGAAGTTGAAGGTGAACAGTGACGTTTAAAATCGTATCGCAGCACATTTCACATGTTAACTTTGTTGGTTGTCTTCTTTGGTTCTTTCGGTAAAGTCACGTAGAATGAGAATACTGTAAATAGAAATTGGTTGGTTGTACCAATTAATAAAGGACCATGTCTACAAAAAAGAGAGAAACAGGGAGAGAGGTAGGGTGGTAGGGAAGTGAGTGAGTTAGAGTGGAAGGAGAAGATGATTATAGAAGGAGAGGTAGCATAGGGGAATTTTTTTTTTAAATCAAAACAGAGACAACGCGAGACATTTAGATAAATTGAGATATACAGCACAGAGACAGAAAGATAAAAGGTGGAGACAAGACAGGGCTCTGGATAAGATTACAAGTTTTGCTGGCTGGTTGGGACGGACGGAGAGTCATGTCCAAAGGATGTGTGGGTTGCAAGTTATGTTTAAAAGTATACAGGGTGCTTCAGACATTTTTTTATGGGACTATCGTTTTGAATGGAAAAAGAACGGCAAATACACTGCAACATGATAATAAATGTATGTGAAGAGCTTCAAATAGTCAAAGAGTCTCCCACTTGTTCGCCATAATTGTCAACACGTTGCCTGGAATCTTCTCCAGGTGATCTCCAGAGCCCCGGAGGCAGCAGCACATTTATTTGTGGGTTTGTTGCAAATTTCCAGTTGTGTTAACATCGTTTTTAAGCACCCTGTAGAATGGCTGTGTTGTCAACATCGTTTTCTGTTTTCTTGTTTTAGGGACGCCGATATCAAATGCATCCCAAAGCGCCGCCGAAATGAATGTTCCTTCGCCGGCAAATACAACGAACCGTATCCCTACGCCGTGACTGTGGTTGCTAAAAATGCACTTGGATGTGAAGGAAGTGAAACTGTAAAGTTTTCCCTCAAGTCAATCAGTAAGAACAACCATATATTTATTTTCGGTTGCAACGTGATCAATGGAAATGGGTCCGCAAAACATTGCATAGGTCTGCATATAGACCTGCAAACAAGTTAAATGTTAAGTGAGTAGTTGACTTTGAACGACCGAGTATCATGTGAAAATATTAATATTTTTGAGCCGTGGAAAATGACAAACGGACGAAATATGAAGCCATAACTGTGTTGTTAACGTAACCAACAATAGCATGCTCCTAACGATATTAACATTAGCAGGAAATGGCATAAGTAACGATGTAATTGGAATTAAGAAGTTCGAGTTTTGTTTATCACTTGCGTTGTGATGAAACCGTTGACTGAAGCAAGTGGTAATTAGGATCGACGTTTTGTTATTTCTTAATTTGTTTAGTGAAACCCGACCCACCCAACATTCTGAAAGTAATTCCAGGCCAGGGTCGCCAGAGGCATGTGTGGGTGATCTGCTCTTATCCAAGCACGTGGAACCACGCAGACAAGGGATTCACGCTCACAGCTGAGCTGGAGTACAAATCAATGGAAGAGAGAAATTACAGACAGGTAACATTTTCCCGTTTTTATGTCTTGTTGCACTTATGCATTATATATTCATAACGCTAAATGTTGACTTAAAGCTTTCGTGACTGCAGGAATTCATACTCTTTGGGTCTTTCGGTAAAGTCACGTAGACAGAAAAATAATAACAAATAATTATTAGTATTAGTATTCATAACTATATTTATTCAACCCACTTATCACTTCAGAATAAAATATTATATATATGGATTTGCTTCTGTGCATTACCCATAATGCTGCACTGCAGCACATCATGAGTTTTTTTGCGCTGGTCGGGCCCCCTTGTTTAGAAGGAGTGCTCTGAACAATAATATATGATAAACCAGCAGTATTGATTGAACAAACATGAACAATGCTGATGAGACCCATAGTGTCAAAACGGTTCCAGAGTTTGTTGCTTGAACAGATGCTATGAGTTAATAAAAGTCTAGAAGGGCCGAAAAGACGATATACTAAATTGATTTTATTTTCCTGTGAAGGTACAGAATGGAATTCATTGAACTTATGCCATTCACCAGAATGCTCCACGATTGCGATGCTGAGTTTTTGCACAAATTAAGGTCACTTCATTGTTCACTTCGGTTCTGAAACAGCCTTCCCTTCGCTGTTCATATTTGTGGCTCTCCTGCTGTTTAACGTCAAATACGAAAGAATCGGCTCTTACTCGCGAACGATTTGCTCAACATGTATTGCACAAGGCCCTACTTTGATACTAAAAAAAACACATTGCACGGTGGTCATCAAGCTGACCCAAGTGATTTGCTGCCAACGTGAAGGGTTGCCATCCCATTGCCCATTTGAGCAGAAACACACGTTGACTTTTTTCACTTTGGCCGTAACACAGTATGTACAGTATCACAAATTGTTACATCTGTGTGTGTGCGCTTGTGTCTCACTGTTTGTTATGGTATCCTGATAAATCGAAGATCAAGATCGCCACGTCTCGCGAAAATGTATGGGTGTTAAAAATCCTTGATTCCCATCCTGGCACCTCGCGTGTGATACGCGTGCGTGCCAAGGATTTCCTCGATTATGGAAGATGGAGTGACTGGAGTCCACCGACCTACGTAAACACATCAAACGGTGTGTTTGACTTTGCATATAGTAAATTGTAAAAAAAAAATACGTTACACGCATGCATTATTACTCTCTTCGTCAGCTGATAGTTTCACAAATAAGTTCGTGGAATATTGACGTGAATTTGATCGTAGGAAGGTGAATCAACTGGTCACAAATCGTGCATGTACAAAAAACATCTCTGTGCAATGTATTGCGAATATGTATTGATATGAGTAGTATTGGCCATTATGACTACAGCAGGCTATCCGATGATTGCAGTAATCGATGCTCTACCGATGTTTGGTTCATTTGCTCGACTGATTGGATAATGTACGTTGTTTAAAAAAAAAAGTCTCATCTCTGTTTTTCAACGCATGCCACTGGACGGGAGGTGATAGGCAGAGCTGGGCGATGCCAGCTGCATCTGCTGCTGTGTAACGCAGCCCATGACTTTGTCTGGGATTTACCGCCTTTAGGGAGTAAGAAATGTTGGGGTCCTGAGTAAAGGTCGATATAATTTTTTTTATTGAGAAAAATTACTCGATCAAATAATTGTCCCAGCTCCCTGTCACGACCTCTTATCCTCGATCAAAATCTGAGGTGCATTTTAAGTACTTGACATCCAAAGTTACCATCATATTATACGATTATTGAAAATTGCATACGTGTTATTTAAATTCACGACATGTATACCACACAATTGTGGGTTACATCTGCAACTTAAAGCACTCTAAAACAATGTTTATATTTTTTTTGCAGAAGATGAATCCAAAGTGGACATTCCTAAGGTGAAACAAAATATGAAGTAATTCTGTGTTTTATTAAAGTTACAAATCTCACCTCCACATCTTCATACTGCTGTTTTCCAATTTCTGGTTGACTTGAAAGTATTAACCACCCTGACCAATACTATTGCTTAAAAGAAAGTCTTGTAATATGCCAAAGCATACGACCAATTTTGCCAACATATTTCCAACAAACATACACAGTCGTGAGATATTGATTAAACATCGGCTGTATCAATCTTTATAGTTCAACAATAATCGTTAAATACACACCTAATGTTGACTGCTCTTCCCGTTAAAGCGTAGAATATAATGAGCGTATTCACATTATTATGGCCGTAGTGTTTCTGACAAAAAATACAATGGTGTAATAAACACACCTGTCAACCCCTTATCAGTGCCCTACCTTATAACAGACCAATTCAGACCTTATTGGTCACCCCATGCCCTTATAAATCTCAACGTTCATCCTACAAAGTCCCATCGCAAGGGAGAAACGCAAACAAATAGACAAAACACATTTTTTCCCCCGTATTGAAACGGCTGTATGTCGTTTGGACATGAAAACTCAATTTCCTTGAACAAGAATACGGCTGAACTGTATGGGTTGACAGGTACTGTATGAATAAACATGCTGTGATGTAACAGCTAATGGCATTTCTTCTTTTAATCGAGTTTTTTTTTATATATATGTACAGAAATTTGACAATGTGGCAAGCGCAACAATTTATATAGAGAGCTCAGTGGAGTCTGAGCCAACACAATATCCAGGTAGGAAAGCCCAAACTTGTCCTAACCGTGAGCATGCAAACATGTTAAGCGATTTACTTCTCAAATTAATATGGTACAGTGCTCGTCTCGATGCACAGCTCTAAGTCAATGTCGGAAATTCCACATTACTATGGCAGTGGTCAGTCTGTAAGAGTACGACCACTGCTGACTTCTCACAATTATATTTCCCACAAAGGGTGGTATTAAAGGATGATGGCTATGACTCGTATTAATTGTTATATTTAGTTTATTGCCACAAATGACTGTTCGTGTATTCTGGTTAAACAAATGTTATGTTTGCGACGTTGAGAAATTACACATGCTTGAATTTGTTTCTCAGATGCTCTGAAAAAAGTCAATCTGCATGGTGGGACAAGCAAGATAAGCGTATTTTGTATTGTTCTATGTTCAGCCTGCCTTGCTCTGACCACATTAACTGGCATTGCCTTCGTGTACTTAAAGTGAGTACATTTTAGGATTTATCATTGATGTATAAATGATTGTATTTGTGTTCATAATTGATGCACACATAGTACTCTATACAAGAGCAATTAATAATTATTTTCTGGGTTGGTGAAAAGCAGGTAAAATTTTCACAATTATATTTCTGTACATTTGTAAAAAAATATGTATCATACACCATTAAAGTTGGATTTCAATTACAGCACAATTCTCCTGATCAAGCTGATTATAATCACCAGCGCAACGTCAAAAATTGAAAACGTTGTGAGTTTACTCTCCAACACACCGGTGTCCTGAACTAGTAACTAATTGGCATGGGTTTTGTTTACGTGACAAACCTTATTTAATGACTGTCAGGTGGTGGTGGTGAGTTCACGACACATTTATATTTACGCGATTTAACCCAAAATAACTTTCATTATGAACATTTAATTAATGCATTACATGTTTACTGCTTAGTTAGTGTACACGACATTGTACGTACCGTTTGTAAGCACAGCTGATTGCAAGGCTATATTCACGTGCCAATTTCAGTACGCACAATTTATATACTGCACTGTATTTACGTACGATAGTGGTGTTGATCAACCTTCCGTATTATTGTATATCCACAGAAAGAGGCGAAAAGAAGATACGAGACATCAGGATGCCGTGGCAAGACAGGAATTGGAGCCCTTAGCTGCTCCTGTTATTTTGATGAATGGGGACATGACCAGCACCAATCCCATCCACGAGACACCTCCCCAGGATGATCTCACTCGCATTAATTTAGACGAATCCAATCCCTTCGTGCAGGCCTTTGGAGATCCAAGACTTCCCATCAACAACAACGTGATAAACTCGGAATACTTTTACAAACGTATAAAAACGTCTTTTTTATTCCAAGAAACACAGGTTTAGGATCAGACTTAAACAAGAACTGATTGCCAGTTTGGATAATTTGCTTTGTATGCACTTCTTTAGCACGGTATGTAGCCAACCGTGCTAAATGGAGGTGCTTAACAGCAATACAGCCAAATCTGGTGTTGTAGTCGATCATTGTTCACATTTATCCAGTCACAATGACTTTTCCAGTACTGTATTAAAACATTCCTTTGAAGTTTTTTGTAAAATATAGTGGGATAGTCAAAATTATAATTCATGGCGTTTTGGCCATGGTCCCATCTTGGTCTCATGATATGAGCCTTTGCCAGAATGCAGCGTGACAATCGATCTGTTAAGTCACGTGACAGGTTGTCGATTTGTTTGGGACAGCCCGTGTGTTAAACAAGCACAACCCTGTATTTTAAACGGTACCGATGTGTCGGATCAACTTTGATGACTGTATGTAACATGTTCAAATGTTAACTTGTTTCCAATTTCAAATAAAAAAAATGTCCTGACGCACTCGAGCTGCATAACATGTGGTTATTTCTATTGCGTTTAAAGAAAATAAAAAAAATCCACATGTATAATGCGCATTCCATTTTATGATCACAATGTGCAATGCATGGAAAGCAGAAAACAAAAACATAACCAGGGAAACTGACCAAACTGAAGAGGGAAGACCACTTTAAAGAGATCTGTTATCAAAGTAGACTTAAATAACTCTACCGACTCTTATTTCCTGATTTCAAGTGACAAGGCGTTCCATAGCTTGGGTGCCATGCTAACAAAAGCCCGATCATGTCGTTCAGTGCAGAAAACGTGGTAAAGTATTAGGTGACAGTTACAGCGTAAGCTATATGGTGAGATACTTCAGAGTTCCGAGGCAAAGATAATGTAAAGCCATAGCTGCTGCAAATATCGGGTTCACATATTTTCACTTATTAAAAAAAATCCTTTTGCCCGTCGATCACGATTGCAAAGAATTGTAAAGCGATTCTTGTTTCACCAAAAGCATCTCTGGGTGCATCCCCTATGAACCATGGGTAGCTGCTAATAAAGAGCACGGATGTAGCCAGCGTTCACGTTCACCACAACATCTGAAGGCTGTGAAGATCACAGCTGCTCCCTGCCTAGATGCTCTCATTGTTAAGGGACCTGCTACCTCTGTCTGCTTAGCACTTAGGTCTAACGGGTGCACAGACAATTAACCTCTCCTTCACAGGCAGAATGGAGCAACACAATGTGCCTGGCAACCAGATACTCTATCGTATAATGCGATTGTCTAGGTATGACGCTAGTCTTCATTTTTTTTTAATGCAGCGTTCTCTTGTAATATTTTTTGGTTAAAACATTTCCGGCTGAAAATGTAAATGTTTTAAACGACTGCAAAAAAAATGTATGCACCTAAACCTTACATACATATAACATGCTAAAACTGTTTCCATATGACATACAAGAAATGGAAAGTACTCAACTCCACTTCGACTCCTGAAACAGAAGTGAAATCCACATTCCTCGAACAGGAACCAGTCCTTAACTTGGGCAAACCTCGTTTCACTTCCCACAAAATTATTGAGTAATGACCGGGATTTGCACTCAAGACACCTGACCAGATTATGTTTTTTAAATGGATTAAAGAGGAATGTGAGTCCTTTTTAGTACTATTCATAATTTGTGGATTCCTACCTTCAACAGCAAGTGGCTTGCTTTTCCGTAAAGAGTTTTAGTGTACGTCTTTAAAATGTGTGGGGTTTTGAGACATTTGTTCGCTTGCAACAATATTAAGTAAAGACGATCGGCAACCTATCCAAACATAATTGGCAATAGCAGATGACAGTTGCAAAAAAATAAATATTAAACGTAACTTTGACATCAATTTTACATTTTTAAGTACAGTATTTATAAAACATGCTACTATTTTTTGTTTGGCCAAAAATGTGCTTCTTAGTAGAAAAAAAAGTGAACAAAACAGTCTAAAGGGAACTAGATAAAAACATTGTACATGAGTTGTTTATTTAAGAGTTATATTTGCATGTCCATGGTTCTTTTTTTTCATGTAATGCCCTCTTTATGTATACAACCAGTTAGAGAAAACGGTAGTGTATTATATTTGCTTTCCATTTCGTGGCATTATAAAGTGTTGACTCATGTAATCATATTTATGCATCTTGGTTTAATGTGCATACAGACTATCATACACAGGTATGCGCCTTGTATTTACTATATGTACGAGGTACTATTTGTGAATGTGAATTTAATCGGAATATTTGTTGTCCATCCTAAACCTTCCCAAAATGCAATGTTTTTTTCATAGCTATATCTTAGCATTGCACTGATGTATAAGTATGGGGTTTGCATATATTAGGGGCATTTGTAAGATAATCATAGACAGCGATGTAGTCATATGGTCGCTCATTATTAAATCATTAAACTAAATATGGAACAAAAAACGTGATAATTACATGAGGTAAAAAATTAATTCAAGGGGGGGTTTACATTAAAGAGGGGAGGGCTTGCAATTAGGACATATTTTGATCATTTTACCCAAAACAGTATATGTGAAAAAATATTGCCTTGAAATCATTGCTTTTCAGGGATCTTGTGATTCTGTATTATGTTTGCTCATTGTTATACTACGGGGGATGTAAAAAAACATTTTATTCTGATAGATCCAAAAATGTTTCACAAATAATATTACCTTCAATGTAGAGTCTATGTGCACTGTTCAAGTGTCAGCCCACACGTCCTTTTAATACCCTAACCACCAATAAATAGTGATATTGGTATGGTTTTACATTGCAGTTGTTCCGCATGTCTTTTTGTTTATTGGTCATCACGCCACACCATTAACTTCCTTCGAAGTTTTAATCCGAAATAATAATGTATATTAAGCAGTGTTGCTGACTTTCAGTTTTAGCAATAATATATGCATTCGTATATATTTCTCGGGATGTCAAGAAACATTAAACATGCTAAATGTACTTAGAGTATTGGTTTACATTTTTTTTTTACAACAATGTTGTTGACAGCCTGCTCCAGTTCAGACAAATATTTAAATACATACATGTATTGAAACACCGTGGAATATCCCTAGAGGCTAATGAATAGCTCATGTCGCTAAAGTGAGTAAGATTGTTGAACACGTAGGCTTTCGCGACCAATATCATCCATCATAGAGGTTTTTTTTGGGTTAGATCGGGTAAATATAAAAAAAGTGTCGGGTGGTGGCGGGTTTTAATGACACTTTTAGATATTTACGCGATCTAACCCAAAAAAAAACCTCTATTATGGAGTAAGATTGTTATTTTCAAATTATTTTTAAACCTGTTGAGCAGATTTTTTTAAAGAGATAAAGTTCCTAAAATTGGAAGAATGGGATTTTCACAGCACTAAATAATGGGGGCGGGGGGGGGGGACATTGACACACGTCATCTTCAAAAAACATTCCCGAGTTTATTTAACTTTTCCCCTCAAGTGTAGTGTCTTATGTTTGGTCCTACTATTTGAACTCTTGTCCACTATACATACAAAATGTTCACTATATACTGGAAGGAACAAAACAAAGTTTGTAATTGGTTAATGCGGTCTTGTCGGCAAGGTTGACACTTATCAATTGCATTTTTTGTTACAGATTGAAAGTACGTAATTTTGCTTTAATCCACATAAATTGGCAATCACAAACAGTTAACATTTACCAGTGGCCTAATGTGGAAGTAAACATGTTGTTCTCTGCAGGTGGTCTCACAGTCTGTTTCCTTTGGGAGGAAACATATGAACTGCGCCACAATCTGCCGGGGCCTGACTGACCGTCCGATCGAAGTCGACTTTTCAGCTTCCTCTTTAACGCTCAGCTCAGCAGTGTAATAACAATAAATAGCAAATGCTGCGCTCACCCACGTGGTCACGGGGAGACCGCTTTTATTCAGAGCCGTTTATTTGTTGTATTAATTGTGTTTTTTTAGAACTAGTACCAATACGTATTCTTGGTTCTTTCGGTAAAGTCACGTAGAAGGGAAATAATACAAAAAACACATATAAAACAATCAAATTCTAGCGACGTTTCAATTGCAACACAAGCAATCATCATCAATATTTTATTATTTCCCTTCTACGTGACTTTACGGAAAGAACCAAGATTATGAATCCCTGCAGTCACGAAAGCTTTAAATCGAAAAGTACCAATAAGTGTTTTCAAAATGTGACATATTTTGAGGTAGCAAATGAAAGGAAATAAATGAATTGCAAATGACAACAAAGTTATTTTTGAGATGAAGACCTCTATCCTAACTTTCACAAGTAAAGTATGAACAATGCTTGCTAGTACCCGTGGCATGCCATTGGAAGGGGAGGAGAATCAATGCCATAAATGTATGAAAAAAGAGAATTGTAAAAGGGAAGAAAGAAGATCATTAAATGAGTTGAAAAGGATGGAAAAGTAACGTAAAAATGGGACCCAAAGATCAGGAAAAATCGGGATAGGTAAGAAGAGGCTACATCAGAGCCCTAACGAAGTGTTTGTTTTCATAGGGGATGGAGAGAGGGGGGGTATTCAGAGTGGGAGTGGCCACACAGAAGGTCATATGATTTACGGGAAGCTTGGGCTGATTCAGCTACACAGGGACTCCGCCACTTACGAATATTCGACTTACAAACTTTCAGGGATGCGAACAAATCTGTCTGTATGTCCAGTTGCCTTGTTCGGACTGAGAGTCGTAAGTTCAACCGCCGCGCAATAGATGGCGGTGGTGGCATCTACATCTGCAGAGCATGAAGAACCAGTGGCATCTACATCTCCAGGAGATTATGCAACTTTTAAAGCCATTCCCCGTGTTTAGTGAACATGTCGTACGACACGTTTGGAATGGACAGGAGTAAAGTTGGACTTACGAACAAATCGACTTACAAACAGACCCCTGGAACCTAACTTGTTCGTAAGTAGAGGAGTCCTTGTACAGTATGGATATATGAAGTTATGCTTTCCAACAATTTCAGAATCCTCTACTTAAAATAAAGAAGCCGTCACTTGAAAATAGCGCATTTTTCACGACTGTGTTGCAAATTCTTTTAATTAAGTCACAGCCTGCCTTTCTTGATATGGATTATCCTTCTTGAGACAATGTATGTTGAGTTGGACTGGCAGAACAGGATCAGGCATGAACTGTGGATCAATAAAGTTCAAATCGGTGTGAAATTAATCTTAATCACGAGATTCATCTAAGAAGGAAAATAAATAACCCGTGTTACTCAAATCAATATGACACGTGGCATTTGGACCTGAAAAACTGACAAATTAATACATGACAAAATCTGCGAAGAGCAGAATGAAGTGTGGGGGAGATTAATTGATGGATTACAACGAGAGGTAGGAAGAGCAACACACGAATAGGAGAACACGTTCTTGACATATCGACTGTTAATGACGATAAGTCAGCTTGGGGCAGGATGCCCTGCCTTTACGGATAGTGGCCATGGTCAATACGAAGAACAGAGTGGCAGCCAAAAGGAGGAAACACCC